AAAAAAAAACGAAAGAATGTGGGCAACCACACTGGCTGCTATCTTAATCATAAAAAATAAACAACTTTACTTAAGTATTTGCATTTCTTATATTATTGCATTTGGCCCACGGCCCTCAGATTGATTTTAATTTTGGCCCTCTCAGGGTAAATGTTTTTTTTTTTTTTAATTTTGGACCTCTCAGAGAAAATGTTTGGGCACCCCTGCTTTACAGATTGGAGGCAGACATGTGCACTCAGACATGTTATACATTTTTGAAAAAAGACAGACACCTAAGACACTGGCATAGATTGGTGGGAAAAGGATGCAGTCACTAAACTGACATGAAGGTTTTGCACACAGAAAAATAAAAATAAGAATAAAAAAACACATGGTTGCACACTCTTGCCAAGCTTCTCTGTCTTGTTCTGTTTGTTCTCAATAAACTAAACCCCAGCATATGGTTGTAGTTGCGCCCCTAGCAGAGGGAGGAGTGTCTTAGGACACCACTGCAGTGAGCCTTGTTGCCAACCCACTGCGCCAACCCTGATGACATTGTTGCTATGCACTATTCACTAGAGCAGGGCCAGTCCTACTGAGTGACTCAGCTGTTCAGGGTAAATATGTCACATAAAGATAGCAATCGTAAATTATACTGTCCTGAAGTCCCTTTCATTGATTGTAACATTTTGATGGGGTGTGGAAGACAATTTGTCACCGAGGACATGACGCAGCAAAACATAAATACTTTGTCATCTTTCCTTAAAAGTGCACATTGGTATTTAAAATGTACTATGTTCAAACTTAGCTTCCATGACAAAGACAGTTTTATGTTTTGTTTTTTTGTTTTTTTTGTAATTTTGGACATTATTTTGCACTATTGAGACAACCATGTGTTTCTGCAAGCCAAAAAAACATGTCATAACCATAAGTTGTTGAATCTCTTTTTTTAATTGATCAAACTTTCCTTCAATTAATACTATTTTTAGCCCTTTTTTCAAATGTTTCACCAGTTTCTATTTTTTGTAATTCAAGCTCAGCTAGTTTGCAATTAATAAAACTATACAAGAACATTTTCAGACATTTTTGGTCTTTTAGAAAGCCTCCAATAGATTCAGGTTCAAAGTGTGTTGGCCAACTATGTTATATTAAATGAAAAAAGTTTACCAAATACTAAGATCTGGGTTGTTTTTTTTTTTTCAATATAAAGCTCTATATCTTAATTATTTGAGAAACAACTAAAACAAAATTTATTTGTTCCATATAGACTGTTGATGTCATTACTTTGTTAAACTGTGGGACTGGATTTTCTTCAATCATGCTTTTGGCCATTGTTGCTAAATCAATCAATCTTGCTTTCATCATATCAGAAGGTTTTGCCTTTAGGTGGCATGAGTCATTCAGGTAGCTTTCAACAAATTCTCAGCAGGCTATCATCTGCCTTCCACTGTGAAGTGCCCTCAGTCTAGCCACTCTAATACAAAGGCCTGATTGGTGCCCGCAGGCACTCAGTGGCAGATCTAGGATTTTTCTGAGTAAGGGGCCGTCAAGGGGCCACAATATTCATAGAGGGGCCAAGTCTTTGTTCAACATCCTTTCACACAAATTCCCATTGCATACATTTTATACTTCAAACACTTGTAATGTAATGCATTTTTTAAAAGGTACCACTTTACAATAAGGGTCCCCTTATAGATGGCTTTTAAAGAGATTATAGATATGTTATTATTCATCTGTAAACACTTCAAAAATTATTAATAAGTGTTAATATGCAATAATTAAGGACGAGAAAGAGACAAAATTGTCCAGTTTCATTTATTAATGATTTATGAAGTGTAAACTTTACAAATGAATTAATAATCTATGTATAAACTCTTTATAAGTCATCTATAAGGGGAGCTTGATTGCATAGTGGTACCAAAAATCTTGCACAGTAAATTCTCCTCACCAGTTTTTCATAAATTTTACTGTACATAGATAAAATATTTTCAAACAAATAAAATGTGAGAAAATCCAGCCATCATTTGTCAGTTGAAAGACTTTTTTTGCAGGATTGTTCACATTTTAAGAAGAGAAGAAGCTTGATTCAATCTGGACTTTACTATTTGACTCATTAGCACAACTAGTGTTTGAAAATGGAACTGCATCCACCATCATCACCCCCAGGTAAAGGACAGACGAGTGTCAGGACAGGGGCACTTCAGGGGGCCAATCAGATTTCAGCTGGGGCCAATGCCCCTGTGGCCCCGCCCCTAGAACCGCCCCTGCAGGCACTGAAGTCCATATGCCAACCACCGGACAAAGAGTTACCCTCCCAAACAACAAGGATAAACACCATCTCAGAAAGTTAATACATACTGGCATCCTAATGTCAAATTTTGAGACTAATTAAATAAAACGGAATTGATTTTAAGAAAGAAAGAGGAAACTAGAAGTGCCAGAGGATACGGGCATTGAAAGGCCTGGGAGGACATGAGAAAGGCTGTGAAGGACAGAGAAAGGATGAACTTAATAAACAGATGAAGAAATACGGAGAGAGAAAAAGGTCCTCTAGACAGAAGGCATTAGAGGGTGAGGCTGAGAAACAGCACACAAAAAAAGAAGTGTATGTATGTGTGGCCAATTGAGAGAGACAGACAGAGTCAGTGACAGCCACATGGGAGTCGAGGAGGGTGTGAGCAGCATGTCAATACAAATGCTAAATCACTCAAGGGCTTTTCATCCAGCTGAAATTTCAGCCTTGCTTCAAAGTCAGGTGTATGATACAGAGAAACGGGGTGGGTAAAGAAGCAAAAAAAAGGATTAATAGATGTTTGCATTTGATTGTATCATGAGATGAGGTCTTTTTTTTTTTTTTTTAAAAAGTCACATTATCTGTCACAATGCAGTGTTACCATTCACCTGCACCTTCAGCTCATTCCTCATTTATTTCTTTTTTTAAAAGTCCCTTGWAACATCTCCCTCTATCCCCGTCTCCATACTTTTCTGATCCTGTCAGCACAGAAGTCACTCAGTTTGCTCGTGCACCACAAGCTGAAGCATCAACAAACGCTCGCCACGTTTGGCAGCGGCTCCCTGAAGGGAAACTCGGAAGCCTCTGTATTTATGAGGCTGTAATGTCCTACCTGGGTTACACTCAGATCTCCTCTCCCCATCTGTTGTAAGTGGSTGACCCTGGGGATGGGCTGTTGGATGGACGGTTCTGAGCCTGCAACACGACAACTGTGCAGCGTGAAATGACAGGGCAGGAAGGGTGAGGGCAGTGAGGGGGGAGKAGGAAGACCCCTGCCTCCAGAGAAAATGTAGTCACTGTTTTCTGTGTGTAAGAATTTTAATCAGTTTTTTCTTAATTTAAGTAAAACTATTAGTGTGCATGTTTACTTTTTAGAAACAAAGTTATGTATGTATTTATTTTAATACAAGTTTGACATTTATGACATTGTTTTATAGATTTAAAGCTTTTTTTCACATAAAAAAGATTTAGCACAATAACACAGAATGACACCGGTCAGGAAATGGAATTACAGAATGATATAGTGCTTTGATATATTTTTCTACAACATGTCCTGAACAACATAAGATGCGAACATCAATTCAAGGATACATTCGTACACCACCTGATCTGGAACCGATGGCGAGGATCTTCTGCACGGGGTCAAAGGCCAAAGCAGTGGGCTGATAAGGGAAACCATGACGAACCGTCTGCAGAAAAGAAATAMAGGAATCAATATTTTGCTTAAACAAGTCAATTTTTCTTGTATTTAGGACATCAACTATTTGACTGCAATGACTAAATCCTGCAAAAAATGTATGACATCAAGGCAAAAACATTATTAT